ACATACCAAAAAAAGCGGCGGTAAGATGTTACCTGGGTATATGTAGTACTAGCTGAGACCCGCGGTGTTACCCGCGTTTGTTATTATAACCGCGGGCAACGCCGCGGGGCGAAGCTAGTCTAAAAAAATTAGCCTTAGTTACGCCTTATGTCATCAGCTATCTGCCAGTGAAAGTCCCGTCGAAATCGGTCCAGCCGTTCCAGAGATTACCCGGAACAAACAGACAGACAGACAGACAAAAATTGTAAAAAATGTTATTTTGGCATATGTACCGTGTAAACATACATATGCATTTAGTAAAAAGCGGTTATTTTAATATTACAAACAGACACTCCAATTTTATTTATTTGTATAGATATAGATATGTACATATATGTGGTATAGTATATAGAATATTGTAGATTAAACCTCCAGGTGGAACAATAATCCATCGCCCCACTCATCCAAAAAAATAAGTCACTAATAATCTTACTACTATTGTAAATAGGAAAGGTTGGATGAATATTTGGTACTAAATTACTACAGATACTACAAAAACAGCTGCACGGACAAACGAGCAGCCAGTTTCAAGCGCCTTGCCGGCCTTTGGCCTTTAAAGTGCTCTCTTTTCCTGAAGGTTTGAAGGTCGTATCGGTCCGGAACTACATTAATTGCGCCTAAGCTTCTCATCCCGAAAAATTGATATACAAGCAAGGAAGGAAAGCCGCAAACAAAACCTAGTGACAGTAGACAAAAAGCCGCAACACTGTTAGCTAACTGCTGCCAAGGTGATGACTCACGGAATATATAACGAGGTGAAATGCGAAGCAGTTCTCGACTGAATCATAAGTGACACACGCCGCCCTGTCAAACGTTTCGCCATTAATTAACGAGAGGCCCGATACACTTTCTTTTTTCTTGGCTTCGTAGCGATGGGTTGGCGAGAATTCGATTAATCGATAAATACTACGTTTCCTGAAAGTCACAAGTTTACGCTTATTGCTCTGTTGCTAACGATTGTAGCATAATGTTAGATAAAAATTAGTATAACTTTAAACATATCACAAACAGCAGTCTGATCCCGAACTAGGCAGAACCATAACTAGATAAGTAATAACCTTCCTTAAGAGTTGTGCTGTTTAATTTTAGCTGACGACCGGATGGCGAAGTGGTTTGTGTAACGGAATGCTATTCCAAAGGTCCCCTGCGATTCCCGCTCAATTCAAACATTTGTGTTTTCATATTGTTGTGTGTCATTTGTTGTGTGCATATCGGCTAGGTCTGAGAATCGGCCCACATCTATTTATCAAACCCCGAAATAATAAAACCCCTTAATATTTTATTTTTATTTTTTGACAATTTTTTATTATTATGATTTAGTATTGAATTATCTGTGTGGTGACGGATTAAAAATACAGAGTGTCACCACCCCTATTCTACGCGTGAGTGTCGTAAGAGCCGACTATGGGAAAAAAACTAAGCAGGACAACAGCACTGCAAAGAGAAGGAAAACTTAACACAAACCCTATATATACCAAACCGTCTGGCCCGCGTGGTATAGTAGGCCAAAACCTCCTTTCTAAGGAGAGGCCTATGTCCAGCAGTGGATTATTAATGTGATGATGATGATGTGATTGAAAAATACATACAATAATAATGTATATGGCAAAACAACGTTTGCCGGGTCAGCTAGTAATCTTGTAAAAAAGAAAATACAACGTAATTGTAAACTTTTTGTTAATATCGGACAAAAAATCTCAAATTATTTATTCACCATATCTCTGTAGTCCACTTCCAATCAATAACAGTTGTAAATAATAATAATTCCAACCAACTGTAAAACTATCAATGAACTAGCGAATGGTAGGGGATCTCGTAAATGACCGTTGTAGGTGCGCACGCGCATACATTTAGCTCAAGAATGCGATAAACCTAGTTACATTGACTTTGAAGCCGAAACTGTAGTCATAAAAGGCAGTCGTGATTACGATATATGACAATTTATCTTATAATAATTAGAGACTAGTTGATGAAATGTTAAATTATTAATACCAATAAAATTCTTTCACATAATAATAATTACTTCACACACACACGTCAGTCTGATCCCAAACTAGACACAGCCTGTGCTATGGTAACCAGACTGCTGATAAACATACTTATATATTTCTAAATACATACATTTCATAGATAAATGAAATGCAGGCACATAACATTTGTTCTGCTTATGACACAATTATTTACCCTAAGTAGGAATCGAACTGTGACTGCTTACCTCTAGTTCAGCAGCCAGATTAACTAAAACTAGACAAACATTCCTGCCAACTGTTTTAATGATAAGACAGATAAGACAAAAAGATTTTTCCAAATCGATTTCTAAATGACGGAGTATGGAAATAAAAAAAAAACAATAGAATTGATAACCTCCTCCTTTTTAAAGTAGTTTAGAAATAACTCACGCGAACGACACCGCGGGAAAACCTACTGATAAAATAAATAGCGTGTTTAAATAGTATTCTACTCGTTCTTAGTTCTAGTTACAAGTATGGCGCTACTATATGTGGTATATGGGGCGGTGTAACGGTGTCCGCGCCGTTAAACACCGGCCTGCGTCTGCGCAGCGCATGTCTTATCAGCGCTGATAAATATGCGGTAGCTTCTGTTTAGAACATCATGAATAATACTTGCGAGATTCAGAAATCAATATAATAATAAAGGAAATTGGTGATGATAAGTAATTTGGTGATTTCTTTTAATGGAGATTAGCATTTAAGGCATTAAGCATTTAAGGATAAGGGACATAGTTAAATATTTATGTAGGTATTTATTGCATGATTCAGTACATGGTGCTATGATAACAAATTAATTGTAGATAAGTGTAACAAATAAGTCAAAAGTTTATAGGTAAATGAAATATGGCTTAGTTCACATCACATCACATCAACAGCCTTTAATAGTCCACTACTGGACTCAGGCCTCTCCTTAGAAAGGAGGTTTTGGCCTACTATACCAGGGTGGCTGGTTGGTGGCTTAGTTAAAAGGAAGAATTTTGAATTTTTTAAATGTCTGGAAAAGCAATATGGCTGCCTTGCAAGAAAGTGCTATGAAGCTGTTTTATTTGACAACAGCAAGAACTTGCGTGTTTGGACTTGTCAAATATATCTGTGGATTTAATTTTAATATGCCATGAAGATTGATTACGTTCTCAAAAAGGCAGACGGCCTGATAAAAGAAAAAGCCAAAACCGTTTCGCAATGAAATGGAGGAGTGCTTGAATGGGAATGTCGAGTGATCGAGAAAATTGGATGAAAAAAACTATTTAAAAAACTATATAAAATTTCACATCAACAGCCTTTAACAGTCCACTGCTGGACATAAGCCGCTCCTTAGAAAGGAGGTTTTGGCCTACTAAGTATACCACGCTGGACAGCCGGGTTGGTATAGGGTTTGTTTCAAGGGATGAATAAGGGTGGTGACACTCTGTATTCTTAATCCGTTACCACACGGATAATTGGGATTGGGAAATAAATTTGGGAATAAAGAATTTTCCATATTCCTTATGTAGATCACTACTATTCAGCTAAATGCTTGTGGCGTTGCGTCAAAAGACATGCTTTGATTTAATGTTTATTTAGAGCTGACACATCTCTCTAATAAACACACAATAAACAATCCGACGTCTGGGCATACCAATGAAACAATGATATATTATTATCATAGATAATAACAACGGGCCTAACATGCTAAATGTAATATGTTTTAACGTCTAAATGTGGGTAAGAAATATGCTTCTGTCTACGACTTTGGAAATAAAGTCGTGAGCGTTTTGTTTTTATAATGCAGGGAGTAAAGGAGCAGATGGGTGTTGATGGAAAATCATAACCGCTGCCCATGAACGCCTGCAACGTATCGCCGGCTTCTGAGTACGCTCTTCTCTTGAAGGTTTGAAAGACGTATCGGGCTGCAAATACCGCAGGAGACAATTTATTCCACAGATTAATGTTGCAAGTCAAAAAGTTTCTTGAAAAGCGTACAGTGGCGGAGCGCCAATTACCCAAGTGATGGGTATGGATGTCCTGCCTTCTGGACCAATGGCGGAAAGCTGCGGCCGGTAATTCTCCACGGTACAGGCATTTATAGATCCACAGTCTAGATAACACCATGTTATATCCCAGAATATTAATAAAACGTGATGAAAAATTAACTTTTATGATCCCTACAGATTAATTTGTTACCGATTATGATTAGAAGATATAGATTACTAATACTTCTTTGTGTAATCGATTAGATAATTATATACTGAATTGATAAAATTGATACGACACCTTGTTTCATTATTATTGTTAAGTAACAATAATATTTTATATCAGTGTCTCATACATACAGACAGACACTCACGTCTTAATTCCCGAAGGGAGTAGACAGAAGCCAATTAAAACGCGAGTATTTTGCTGACTAATTTTAATCCCAGTACGTAATAGGGGAGCCTACTGTCGTCACCTCAATAAACTGTAACAGTCCACTGTTGGACACAGGCCTTTCCTTAGGAAGGAGGTTTTGGCCTACTATACCACGCTGGCCAGACGGGTAGGTATAGGGTTTGTTTCAAGTTTTCCTTCTCTTTGCAGTACTGTTGTCCTGCGTAGTTTACTTCCTTGGTGGGCTCTACCGACACCCACGGGATGAACTCCGTATTCTTAATCCGTCACCATACGCCGTCAACCGGACACATACATATATTAAGTATGTTTCAAAATAGATAAAGAAACATATTTATAAATGTGTACATATATTTAAGATAATCGCTTTTGCTCAAACTTGATTCATTTAAATTAAGGAATAAAAAACAGCTTGTAACAATATATCATGATGTAAGAGCATTAAATTTGGTAACTTTAAAAAAAAAAAACAACAATTTATGCACATGTCTTCTATTTACAGAAGTTATATATTGTATGTTTTTTACTTATTTTATAAAAATTCTTTTTCTCCTATTTATTTAAAAGTAGTATTTGAAAATCCTAATCAATATCCAATTTTCTAAACGTTCCCTCTAGTGAGTTAGCCCCATTTCTGTCAGACATCGCTGCTAATCTTTGCTCCTCCTCAGTTTTAAAATAATCTTCCAGCAGTTTAAGGTCTTCCATACACTTTTTATGAAGTGTCTGCGTGTCTGGAAGAGTACCCCCATAGTCTGAGGGCAAAGATGACTTTGGAACTATTTTATGTATCTTTTCAGGAACTTCGTGTTTCTTGTAAAAGTGGATCGTTTGGAGAAGTTGACTGTCCAGAAATGGCTTCGTCAGTGACAGCAATTTGTCCAAAATTGGTTCGGTGTTCAATACATGGATGGCCTGAACGCGAACAGGAACAGCTTCTTGGACATATTGGAAGATTTTCCGAACTATTGATAAGTTAATTCGAGTGAGATGACCCATTTTAATTCCTTCCATGTCGAAGAGGACAATATAACCTGGCTGAGGGCCTCGTTTTGTTAGAGAGAGATCCACGACCATAAATAGTAGTTTACAAAAGGTTACCAGATCGAAATATGAAGGGTCAGTATTGTGCAGACGGTGGTAGATAATCTCGTACCCTTCAGAAGACTTGCCAGGAACATGGAACACTTCAAGGACCTCGGCAGCCTGTTTCAAGTCTGGATTCCAAATCCGGTAATCGAATAATTCTGGAGCATTATTTCTATAAGTGTAATACTTTTCAATACACATTTTAGTCTTTTCTAGATCACCATAACACACATTATAAAATAGAACAATTTGTTTATCACTTAAATTTTTGGGAATACATTTTGAATTGTCAATTTTTATACTCCACTGTCGGAGTTCCTCGATATCCTCTTGACGAAATTTAACCATGGCTGCTGTGGTTTCCTCATAGTTGAAGTCCAGATCTACTAACATTGTTTTCGTATAGGAACTATTTTAAATTATCAAACGCAACCGAACAGAAATACTTTCGATTAGCAACTGGCTTGAATCAAAACAACAGATAACATTTTACAATAGCAGAAGAGCTGGATAATCATTTTCAGATAATACTATTTAAATAAATCAAATAATATTGCTTATAAAAATAAAGGAGACTGATAAAAAAAGATTTTGACGGCGATCGCCCGATTTTCAGAGCCACTTTTCCAATGTCGACTTGTGAAGTGTCTCAAAAAATCGGGCAATTACGCATTACTTTACATTATTAGACGACCGGATGGCGTAGTGGTTTGTGTAACGGACTGCTATTCCAAAGGTCGCGGGTTCGATTCCCGCTTCAGTCAAACATTTGTGTGCATGATTGTTTGTTGGTCTGGGTGTTTCTATGTATAATATGTATGTATTTACAAAAAAAAAATTATATATGTATTTATATCAGTTGTCTACTACTCATAGTACAAGCTCTGCTTAGTTTGGGACTAGATGGCGTTGTGTGTTTGTGGTAGAATATTATTATATTATTATTATTTTTCAAACAAATGCGTACAAAGCGATGTGAAATTTGAAATATTAACTCAATTTACTTAAATAATAATAATATAATAATAATAATATATCTCCATCTCAAACACGGCCGTCTGATCCCAAACTAGGCAGAGCCTGTGCTATGGTAACCAGACTGCTGATAAACATACTTATATATTTTTAAATACATACATATTATAGATAAATTACACCTAGACACAGAACAAATGACCGTGCTCATCACACCATATTTGTCCTGGGTAGGAATCGTACCCACGACCTCCGGTTTAGCAGTCAGGGTCAATAACCACTACACCAACAGGCCCGTCCAAATACGGCAAATAAAAATACGACCAAATACCTAATACAAACTACTTAAAGTTCGTATTAAGAAGGGGAGAAAGCTAATAATTGTATTAACTTTCTGAAAACATTGGTTTCCAACACTTATATTTAAACCATTAGCTCTTACACTATGAACAGTGAACTGTGTAACCATGCGCATGCGCACCGTGTAGTATTACAAAAGGTGCAGATTATCATAAGCCAATATTATCAATAATACTTTTAATCTTTTATCATTTAATCATCATTTGGGTTGAGGATTGATTCACTGGACTATTATTAACTTATTATTAACTTTACTCGTAACTATGTTCAAAGTTAACACATTTTAGAAGTTGCTTTCATCTAACTATCGCATGTTTTGAAATAAAACTTTGTATGCCTGTTGGTGAGCCAGAGGTTCGATTCCCACTCAAGACAAATATTACGTGATGAGCACGATCATTTATTCTGTATCTGGTTGATAATCTCCAAAAGAGGTGAACCAATTTTTACGAACCCGTTACTGTCAAATATTTAGTATATAGTAGTTATATACTATACACTATATATACTATAACTTTTGCTACTTTTATTTTAGGAAAAGAATTGGTATTCCACAGCAAAATATACTTGTACAAGGCAGAAACAGCTCTGAAACATCGCAATCAACAGCATCCCGTCCAAAACATACGAACACGCGACACGAATAGTTGCGCAAGAGTTTTTTTTGCACACCAATTAGTTATACTTTCAGCTTCTACGGCAATTGGGGGGGCTTCGTTCACCTATTGGTGCACAAAACTTTATCCTTTAATACTGTATTACAAGTGTTAAGAAAATTGCATGATATTTTACTTACAACTAGTTGTTGCCCGCAGTTTTGTTTTATCATCATCATCATCATCAACAGCCTTTATTAGTCTACTGATAGACATAAGCCTCTCCTTAGAAAGGAGGTTGTGGCCTACTATACCACGCTGGCCAGACGGGTTGGTATAGAGTTTGTGTCAAGTTTTACTTCTCTCTGTAGTGCTGTTGTTCTGCGTAGTTTTCTCGCTTAGTTCGGCTCTTACGACACCCACGGGATGAATAGGGGTGGTGACACTCTGTATTCTTAATCGGTTTTGTTTACGATAAAGTTTTTGATGTGTAATATCTTTTTTGACTGCTGATAAATATACTTATATAATAATAATAGCCTTTTATTCAGACACAAAAAATAATAATCTTAAGTTAACGACTCTGCTGAGTCGATGACATCGATAACTTCGTCTATTTGCCCAACTTTGTCAAAGGCCTCCTCCATTTCTTTCCACTCTGCTCGGTTTAGAGCCCCTATCTCGTCTTCCCACCTTCGAATCTGTCTACCTCTGTGTCTGTGTCTGATTCTGTTCCACTTTTCGACGTACTTATATTCGAATATACTTAAGTATATATTTCTAAATACATACATAATATGGTAAACTTACACCCAGATACAGAACGAATGATGGTGCTCATCACACAATACTTGATCTGGGTAGGAATCGAACGAACAACCTTTGATATAGCAGTCAGGTTGTCTAACCACTAGACGATTAGGTCCTTCAATGTTATACATCTAACACACATAATAAAATTTAAGATTACTGTAAGGCAAACTTGTTTTTTTATATATTCCTCAGAAGCAGTTTTTTTTTGGCGCAATATTTCTACACTGATTTCATGTTCGTATGGATTGAAAAGCCCCTTCAGGTTTTAAACAGAAGTTCACCCCTTATTAAGTAGGTAAGCAAATAATTTTGTAGGACAAATTCTGAAATTCGTAGTAAGATTGTAGAATTGAATTGAATTGAATGTAGAAGTGGTTCCTCAATCCAAACGGACATCTCATTTTTAGCATAAAACCTTTTAAATGTAAAAATAAAGATGAGATTTTTTTATTAGAAGGGTCATCTAATAAGAAAGAATATGTTTATCAATCGCAAGTCTCGGTTGGGAAACGGGACTGAGACTGCAATTCCCGCAGACGGGTCACTTGATGGTAAGTGACTACCGTCGGTAATGGACTCCTGCAACTCCCCAACCCCCTTCCAGGATCAGAGGATGAGGGCGTAATAGCATCCGGTAACCTCACTGATTTTTTGAAAAGCAACCGAAGAAATAATTCTTCTCTGGACTCACAGAAAACCATTGTTAAACAATTAAAAATGGTTTTCTGTGAGTCCAGCCTTTAGTAGTCCACTGGTGGACATAGGTCTCTCCTTAAAAAAAAGGTTTTGGGTATACCATGCTGGCCACATGGGTGAATATAGATTCTGAGTGAGTCTTTTCCTTTTCTTTGCAGTTTTTTCAAAGAGTTTATAATAAATATTGTTTAAAAATATTAATATTGTTCACTAAAAGCCAAGAATGTCATGCATATTTTTTTATTTCTTTATTTCTTGTTTTTCCTCAAAGCACCGTTATTATTATCTGAGGAGGTAACATAACCTCAAAATAGAGGATCTCATAGCATTCAAAACTTTCAACAATGGACTCTGTAAAAGTCTTGGCGGCCGTGAGAACGATGCCGCTTATCTATGACTCTGCACTTTTGATACAAGACTTTAGATTATAATCAACGGAGTTGAAATAGCTACCTTTGCTTCAAATAGCTTGGTCAATGAAACTATTTTGTGGTCTGATATACGGAATGACTGCACTGATGGCCTAGTGGTTTAAGCGGTCGCTACACAGCTTCCTACTACGCTGAGTGTTGTGGGTTCCACAAATCGGTGTTCTGAGTCTGGGTGTTCTTTATGTCCGTTTCACCTATGTTTGTAAAGTCCCCCGCGATATGGGATGCATTCCTAGTACAGGAAGTGTCCTTTATATAAAAAAATAATATATATATTCGGTATATCACCACCCCTATTCATCCCGTGGGTGTCGTACTGAGAGAGTAGAGCCGACCCAGGAAGTAAACTACGCAGGACAACAGTACGGCAAAGAGATTCCTAGCCCATACCAACCCGGTCATCGTGGTATAGTAGGCCAAAACCTCTATTCTAAGGAGAATCTAATGTCCATCAGTGGACTAATATAGACCGTTGATGATGATGATGTATATATTATTTAATATAAATTCAATGTTGACCGAATATCTAAAATTATCGAATAAAGTCTGGATTAAAAAGTTAGTTATGTTCATGATAATTACTTTTAACTTTTTTAGAAATGTCACATCAGGAAAATCGTTTTACATAAAGAAAAAATACATTCTTAAAAATAAGTATCTATTAAAATTTACTTTATTTTAAGTCTGAATAAACTAATTTGTGTTTCTATACATAAGTGTTTGTATTAGATACGTGTAAAGTAAATAAATTGAATCTTTATCTTATATATAAAATTCTCGTGTCACAATGTTCGTTCCCGTACTCCTCCAAAACGGCTTGACCGATTCTCATGAAATTTTGTGTGCACATCGGGTAGGTCTGAGAATCGGCCAACATCTATTTTTCATACCCCTAAATGGTAAGGGTGACCCATCCCAATTTTTTTTTTGTTTTGCAATACAACGTTTGCCGGGTCAGCTAGTAATTTATAAATACAGTACTAGAAAATAACAATCATAAATTAACAAGTGTCTGGTCCCTCACTAGGTAGACCCTGTATTATAGTAACCAGATTTGTCAAATGTTAATTATCATCAACATCTCAGTTGAAAGACGTCCACTGCGGGACATAGGCCTCCCCTAAGGTTCGCCATAACAACCGGTCCTGTGTTACCCGCATCCAATGGCTTCCCGCGGCCTTCACCAGGTAGTCGGACCACCTTGTGTTAAACATACTTATATTTATATATATTAGTCCGTTAAAAAAATTCTTTGTATCCTTTTTTACACGAATATGGCTCACGGAAGCGTAATCAATGTTTACTTTACTTAAAGAAGGAATGAATACCTTATGTTTATATTTAGAAGTGCAGAACGGTTTTTAAATAATTTGTGTTATTAAGTAAAAACGGGTTCATGAAACTAGGTATACGGGTTTAGTATAATATTCTGATGTCATGGTACAAAAGTCTAAACAATGAGATTTGCAGAAACAAGAGATTGATACGGCACTTGGCATGGGACAAAATTATGGTGAACTGT